ATACATTATAATATATATTATACTATATTATACTATATTATATTATACATACATTATAATATATTATAATATGTATATAATATATTATACATATATTATACATACATTATTAATATAAAGCTCTAGTTCTTAAACTCTGGTATCCATCAAATCACCTTGAGGAGTTTTCCTAAAAATGTGGGTACACAGGCCTGAGGTAGACCTACTGCATCAGCTTCTTTTGTTTTAGGAAGTCCTGCATCTGTGTTAGAGAAGGTCAATGGAACATCTCTTGACTAACACAACATGTCTACAATTTTTAGACACACACACACACACACACACACACACACACTTTTAACAAATTAGGCTTCCCAACCCTCATTTAAAAGTTGGTCCACTTCTTATACATACTTGATCTGCATGGAGCATACTCTACAGTCTTTGCTCCATCCTGAAGAAAGCATGTTCCAACTGGCTCTCTCTCCTGTTTCATTTCAGTCCTCCAGTGGTACAGTGGGGCACAGGCCTGAAATCAAAGGTGGTGGTCCACAACATAAAAATTCCCTGAAAAGATTAGTGTTTCAGACAATCTACACTACCCCAGAATTGAACAACACTTTCTAAGCATTAATAGAAAGTAACCACACCTATCCTATACTATGAATTCCAGATCACAACAGTGATAAGTACCTTTTTCACATATTTCATTTTCAAAATGGCAAAAAATTACTTCATGTAGCACTTTTTTTGATCAGCACTAAGCTGATCGAATCAACACTGTAACTAAATAACATTCTTACACACGTAGACTACACCCTAAATTATAAAGCAAATAATTTATTATTAAGAAAAAAGTAAAAGACTTTGCAGTGCTCATTTGATCTACTTTCCAAATAAATTGTGACCCTTCTGTTTTCAGAGTTATGGATTTTAACGCCATACACGAGCAGTAGAATAATGTATGCTTTAATAACGTAGTAATGTACCAAAATGTAACAGTTTAACTTGATGGCAAAAAAGTTCAATGAACTTTCTGTAATACTTTTTGAAGCAAAACATTAACACAAATGCTAGAGACTTCAACAGTGGGTTACTCTATATTTACCCTGAAAAAAGTGAAAGGAGATGATTGTTGCTACTTCTCTATATGTACTTGATGTTTCGTGTATAAGGACTATTTGCACCTGCTTACTTCTGCTTCTTTGCTTTGTGCCTAGAATGACCCACTCTCAACCCCATCCTTGACCTCCAATTAGACACATCCTGTAGAGTTCCTGTGAAATTTCAGCTCCTAAACAAATTCTTCCCTAATGCCCCACCATCATATTTTAAAAAAACAGCAATAAATACTATGCAGGTAATTACAACAGGGAAGGGCTTTCTGGGGAAAAGAAATGAAAGCTGAAGTCAGAATGACAAGGAGCTAGCCAAGTGAAAATCAACAAGGTGAGCATAAAACAGGGACAGGGAACAAACACACTAAGGTACTAACTGCAGTGACCTGGCATATGGAAGGGATGAAGATTAGTGTGGCTAAAGCCTGCAAGATGGAGTGAGATGATGCCAAAGAGACAAGAGCCAGTGACCTGGTTGTGGGGGTGCTTATAAGCCAGGATAAGCAGGGATTTGAACTCTATGAGTGATGGAAAACCACCTGACGGTTTTAATTAAGAAGATGAAATGCTCTGGCTCACTCTGGCCCTCCTCTGGAAAAAGGATTGCAGAGGAGGAACCGCAGAGGATGGACTGCAGGAGAGGAAGCAGAAAGAGGAGACGCGCCACTGCAGGAACCCAGGGAGGTTACAATAGTGGCTGGGTACAGGGTGGAAACAGTGCAGGTGATGATTTCTAGATGGATGTGGGATACATTCTGGAGGCAGAATTGATAGGGCTTGCTGGTGGAGGGGATAGAGAGTCATAGCTGTAAACAGGCTGGGGAAGTTTTATATGGAGAGCATTATCTTCGTGTTTTTTCCTTTCTGATGAAGGGTAACAAGAGTTCTATTTTGGCTATGTTCATTTTGAGTAACACAGGAGATATCCAAATGGAAATGCCAATAGCTAGTTCGGAAACACTCTGAAAATCCAGGGAGAATTAAGAAATAGAGATATAGCTTTAGGGATTATGACATATAGACTGTATTTACAGCCATGGGACAGAATAGGAACAGCCAGGTAAAAGGTGTAGTTAGAGAAGATGGTGGCCCAGAACCCAACCTAGGACACTCAACACTTAGAAACTGAGCAGAAGAGGAGCTGCTCAAAAAGACAGTGAGGATCAGGCAGGGAGATGGGAGAAAACCAAGAAAGTACAGTGTTCCAGAAGCCAAGGGAAGAAAAGCAGTTCAAAAAGAATGGGCTAACTGACCTTGTTGAATGGTGCTGAGTGGCAAGAAACATTCAACAAGTACCAGTGATTTCAGTGACCTGAAAGCCTAGGGTGACTTTAGCCATGCCTACCTGAGTTTGACTGTGGTTGGGAAAAGAACAGGCAGTGAAGAAGTAGAGGGGATAACTGAAGAAAACACTGAAAAAGTTTCTGAAAAGAGGAGCAAGGAATGTGGCATAGCAGGGGAAAGAGGCAAAGGGAAGGCTGCTGTGTTTTTAAAAAGAGGTATTAGTGCGTGTGATTAATCACAGGCACACTCATCCTGAACCCGGCTGGACAGAAACACCCTGAGGGGAAGGATCAACAAGAGTGGAGAAGGTAACAAGGCAGGAATAAAGGTGGAAAGTATCAGAAAGCAAGTCTGTGAAGGGCAGGACAGAGATGATCTTTGATAGGACGGCCTTTGATCAGGGCTATCTTATCTCATCTTGTCCTGGACTCCTGAGAGCACTGAGTTTTACTACTAGCTTTCAAGCAGAAACTTTTCTGTGTTTCCATATAAATTGACAAAACTCACCTACAGGTAAATATCCAAAAGACTTACCAAAATTTTGTCTTGTTTTGATCTCACAGATGCTCCAAACCACTGGTGGGACTTAAACTCCAATGGATCATCCTTGGCATAATCTCTGTTGCCTAAGAAAAAAATATATTCTTAGTATAACAGAGTTTATTTCAATCCAGACACACAAAGAGTATGCCTTTGATTAACCAAATTTGATTAATCAAATGCCACATTAGCTATTTACCTCGTGTACTTGATGAATATCAGGAACTTTCAACTAACCAAAGAAATAAAATACAGGATGACTAGAAGTGTCCCAGGGTTGTTATTAACCCCCATTAACTGTAATGCAGATGTGAAAAGTTTCCCAGTGGCTAAATTATAAGATAACTATTAAACACTTATAATTACCTACTGTGCTCCTGAAAGTTCTATGATATAAATATATTTATGAAAACAAAAGGCCTTTGTAAAACACGAGTAGTAAAAGACTAAAGTAAAAGACAAAGATAGCGCAAGTGGCATTATAACATGGGAGTTAGAATCTAGGAGACATGATCTGGCTGGTGGGAAAAAGAATCAGATTTGGTACACTACATGCAAATATTTATTTTCAGTTTACATTTTCGAGAAAATTATTCCCAATGTACTAGCCACTCATGTAAAGTATTGCAAATTAAAAAGAAAGAAAGAAAGAAAGAAAGAAAGAAAGAAAGAAAGAAAGAAAGAAAGAAAAGAAAGAAAAGAAAAGAAAAGAAAAGAAAAGAAAAGAAAAGAAAAGAAAAGAAAAATCCTTTCCATGAGGAGTGCCTGAGTAGCTCAGTCAGTTAAACGTCTGACTCTTGATTTTGGCTCACGTCATGAGCTCACTGTCCACAACATTGAGTCCCACATCCAGCTCCATGCTGACAGCACAGAGCCTGCTTGGGATTCTCTCTCTACCTCTCTCTCTGCCTCTCCCTGCTCACACTCTCTTTCACATGCATCTCTCTCTCTCTCTCTCTCTCTCTCTCTCAAAAATAAATAAATAAACATTAAAAAAAATCCTTTCCATGGAAAAGCTCTTAAATTGATCAAGGAAAGAATTATGGAAACATATCCATAAAGCATTTGGGGAAGGAGAGACTTTTTCTTGAGAGACTAAAGTCTAGTATGTTCCTCTTAAAATCTATTTATAATAATCATTCTTTACAAACATATATATCAAGAACTATACTGGACAAAATATAGCAGACAAGGATCAATTTTAAGACTGCCAGCCAATATGTAAATAGTCATCACAAGGTTCATGTTAAATCTATTTCCTAAATCGCACTCATCTAAGGTAGTACTTATGGTTATTCAGTTCCCTTCTGAAGACTTAAGACCAACTGAAGATTGAGATTAACCTTGAGATTAATTGAGAATTTCAATAATTCTAGATGTAATACAGACAAGGTAAAGGATATAATACTGTTCACTATACTATTCTTCTTTTTCATTATCTTAAAAAAGTTTTCTTTAATGTGTGAATCTCCAAAGGCCTCTTTCTGTACTCTTAATACAGCTGATTTTTGTCAGTGGTCACAAAAACACATTTTTATAAGTAGGGGGAAGGAGAAATGGAACTTAGCCAGTATAAGCCCTTCACCATGAAAACCAAAGTTTCCCAACAGTATGGTTGGCTTGCCTCTGAAGCCTGTGTTCACCAAGCCATCATCACTGGGAACACTACATGTCAGTGACACACAGGTCCATGGACTCACTTACATTTCCCATCCTCCCACAGTTACGTTAAAGCCACGTAACTAGTTCTTGCCACGAAGCTAAGAGCAAAAGTGGCAGATGTTGCTTCCTGTTCAAGTAAAAGTGGATATGAGCTCACTAATCACTAAGCAAATGCAAATCAAAACCACAATAAGATATCATCTCACACCAGTTAGGATGGCAATCATCCAAACAAAACAAAACAAAACAAAACCCCTAAGATAACAAGTGTTGGTAAGGATGTGGAGAAAAGGGAATCCCTGTACACTGTGGGTAGAAATGTAATTGATATAGCCATTAAACAGTATGGAGGTTACTCAAGAAATTAAATGTGGAACCACTGCATGACCCAGGAATCCAACTTCTGGGTATATATCCAAAGGAATGAAATTATTATCCTCTAAGGGGTATCTGCACTCCCATGTTCACTGCAGCATTACTCATAATAGTCAAGACATGAAAGCAACCTAAATATCTATTGAAAGATGAATAAAAAAGAAAATGTGGCATATTCATACAATAGATTATTCAGCCATAAAGAAGAAGAAGATCCTGCCAGTTGAGACAACATGGATGGATCTAGAGACTTAGGCTAAGCAAAATAAGTTAAGACACAGAAAGACAAATACTTCATTATATAATTCACTTATTTGTGCAATCTAAAATAATCAACTCATTAAAAAACAAAACAAAAAAAATAGATATGAATACTCTGTGTTTTCTCTCTCTGATCCGTAAGTCTGTAAAAGATGGTGGAATCACATGATACAAAAAGCTTCAGCCAAAGGTTTTAAAATGTAAGAACAGCCAAATTCCCCATACTCAATGATGACATGAGCAAGAAATAGTCTTCTTTTTAAGTGAGTGAGATGTGGGATTTTGTTTATAAAGCATGTTGTTACTGAAGTATATAGCCTAGCACAGCTTGAGTAATATACATTCTGCTATTTCCAAAAGGGCCTGACCAAAAACTACAAAGAAGCTTAGCCTCTAGGCAGACTGGGTTCACCTGATAATTTTTCAAGGATTTAAACCATAAAATGTGTGGTTACAAGTTACTTAATATAAACTTTTTATTCCACTGCAAGCTACCTGTTCTCTTACTGTGCTGCAGACTCTATTCTATTCCTTTCTACAAAGGAAATGAAGTCATTTTCCTCCTTATATTAATGAGGCAGGAGAAATACACTACAACTGTGAAAGAAACAGCTGGTGCTCAGAAAGATTCACTGCCACTCACTGTCCCTTGAGACCACAGATAAACTCAGGTAATCTTAGCCTAAGGGAATTGAGTTTATGAGCTAATAATGCATGTGAACTGAAAAGTGCAACATTCTCAGAACTGCTACTTCCTGCCTCTGCTTTCAGGTAAGACAAAGCCTTTTCGGCAAGACCCTAAACTATGTCCAACTAGAACCAGAGCTTTTCTTTTTTTATATATTTTGTTAATGTTTATTTATTTTTGAGAGACAGAGAGAGAGAGAGAGCACTTGAGCAAGGGAGAGGCAGAGAAAGAAGAAGACACAGAATCCAAAGCAGGCTCCAGGCTCTGAGCTGTCAGCACAGAGCCAGACACAGGGCTCAAACCCATGAAGTGGGAGATCATGACCTGAGCTAAAGCTGGATGCTTAACCAACTGAGCTACACAGGTACCCCGCAAAGCTTTCCTTTATTAGAGGAAATCTTAGGCTGTACCACATCAGAAAGATTTAAATGAAGGCTCCATATAATTTCTCATAATCTTTAAAACTGACATTTACAAAAACAAAATGATGCAGAACCAAAATCATGATATTCTTAATGCAATTTTTCCTGCCTACAAGACCTAATACAGATTCCTCAAAAATGTCAATGTCATAAAAGACAAAATAGCAGGGAAGATTCAATATTAAAAGAGAACAATGAGGGGCTAATTGCTAAATTAACATGATGAACCCTCCAGAAAATGGTGTGTAATATATATATTGATTATTTAGTTAGTTGGTAATCATGATCCTGAGATCAAGACCTATGCTGAGATCAAGAACCAGATGCTTAATCAACTGAACCACCCAGGGACCCCTAAGATGTATTTATTTTTTATGTAAGAGTTCCCTTCCCTTCAGCCCCCAGTCTCTTGAACAAGTCACATTCATTCCCATTTGCAAGCCTTTGTTACCATGGCCCCCTAACCTTAAAACTTTTATTCCTTTCACTATTGATTTAAACCCTTCAGTTGTGGGGCTCCTGCGTGGCTCAGTGGTTGAGCGTCCAACTTCAGCTTAGGTCATGATCTCACGGTTCGTGAGTTCAAGCCCTGTATCGGGCTCTGTGCTGACAGCTCCGAGCCTGGAACCTGCTTTGGATTCTGTGTCTCCCTCTCTCTCTGCCCCCCCACCCCTCTAGTAGTGCTCTGTCTCTCTGTCAAACACAAATAAA